CACAGGCGCCCGCCACAACGCCCGGCTTTTTTTTTTTTTTTTGGTTGCAGTCGTCATTGTTGTTTGGCGGGTCCAGGCCGGGGATTCGAACCCACCACCTTAGGTGTACATGGCTGGCACCTTAGCTGGTTGAGCTATAGGCGCCGAGCCTAATCTGCACATTTTTGTCAGAAATAGAAGGTAAATATTTCAACTTGGGTTGGTGCCCATAGCATAGTAGTTACAGTGTCAGGCACATACACTAAGGCAGGCATGTTTGAACCCAGCCTGGGCCAGCTAAACACAACTGCAACAAAAAATAGCCAGGTGTTAGCTACTTGGGGGGCTGAGTCAAGAGAATCTCTTAAGCCCAAGAGTTAGAGGTTGCTGTGAGCTGTGATGCCACAGCACTCTACCGAGGGTGACATAGTGAGACTGTTTCAATAAAAAATAAATAAATAAATATTTCAACTTGCTCTACCACAGCAGTTCAATGGCTTAGCAGTAACTTTGAACCCCCATTGTGTAAAATACTCCTCTTAAAGGAGTTCCATTCTTCTTATTAGTAGATTTTTCTTACAAAAAATCATACTCTATTTTATCATATTTTGACTTTTGTCAATAAAACCTATATAGACATCTCTTTCTCTTTTGCTCAATAAATACCTATGTGATAATTTTGACTTTTGCCTCTTGACATGTGAAACTTAAAATATTTACTATCAGGCACTTTACAGAAAAATTTAGCTGATCCCTGATATAAATAATGCTTATCACTTTACTGCCTTGTTACAAGGATTAAATACATCTTGTGCAATGCCTGGCACAAACAAGACACTCATAATACCTTGGCTACACCCCTTATTACCACCAGTATCCCTCTTCACTGATAATTGTGTGATCATGCTGGGAATTACTGGGGTCCTTGGCACTTTTCTTCCTCCTTCTCGTCTTCCTTCTGGCCAGTTACAAAGTCTGTTGATAGAATTTTAACAAAGCCAGGGAGAGAAGGGAAAAAGTTCAAATCAGCCCTTATTTCCCTTAATATAAAAAAATTAGATTTGGGTTATGAATACAGTCTGAAATGAGTCTGGGATATGCTGGCAGATATAATCTGCTGCTTCTTTCTGGTGAGCCTATATATATATATATATATATTTTTTTTTTTTTTTTTGTGACAGAGTCTTACTTTGTTGCTCTCGGTAGAGGGCCATCTCAAACTCTTGGGCTCAAGTGATCCCATTGCCTCAGCCTCTCAAGTAGCTGACCCATCACAATACTCAGCTATTTTTGGAGATAGGGTCTTGCTCTTGCTCAGGTTGGTCTTGAACTCTTAAGCTCAAGCAGTCTATCCACCTCAGCCTCCCAGAGTGCTAGGATGGTAAGTGTGAGCCACCGTGCCCATCCCTAAAAATCTTGTAATTTTGCTTTTAATCAGGCCCAGGCAAGGCTCCAATTAGCCACCTTGTTAAGCAGGGCTGGAGTTCCAACCACTGAGCTACAGTGGCCAGCTTAGTAAGCTGTATTGAGGGGCAGGAATCTGTAATGCTTCCTCATATTCCATATTGCCTGAGGATGTTCTTACTCTTCCTTCAAAAATGAATGAATTAATGAAGGGGGAATTTGAAATAGACATGAGTGCTCAATGCTACCACTGATATAAAAGTGATCAGCATTCTCTGGTGTGCCATAAAAGACTTCTCTAAACTGGTTCCAGATGTCTAGCTATGAATGGTTCTTGGTTCACTGGCCACAGAAAAGCCTGAGACCATAGTCAAGCACATCTCATCACCGCCTTCCTGTTACTTAGGCAAGAGATCATAGATTTGCATACTTGGATACACGGAACCTGCATACCTATAGGCCCTGACTGGGAGGAAACATGGGTCAAATGCTGGCCAATGTAGGTTTGTTCTGTGGGTTGGTACAGTATTTACAAAACCTTGAATTAACTACTGTAATAAAAATATTCAAAGCCTTCAAACGAATGTTCATATTTCTGTGATGATCTGAAGGGTCTGACAATAGGGGGCAAATGTTCCTGATGGCAACAACTGGCTAGGGGTGAGCACCAGCTGCCCTCAACCTGGGCAGGGCTCAGGCTTTTTTTTTTTAATTAAATGATAGCTGTGTACATTAATGCAATCATGGGGTATGGTGTGGTGTTTTCATATACAATTTGAAATACTTTCATCAAACTGGTTAACATAGCCTTTACGTCATTTTCTTAGTTATTGTGTTAAGACGTTTATATTCTACTCTTAGAAAGATTCGCAGGGCTCAGTCTTAACAAATCCTTACTATGTTACCTTACTATGGGCCAGCACACTCCTCTAAGCACTTTACAAAGAGCAACATACTAAATTGTCATAGCAGTCCTATAAGGTAGATATGCCATTATTTCCATCTTATAGATAACGCACCTGTGGTTCAGAAAGCTAAGAAATGTGCTCAAGGTCTCCCAGCTAGCAAATAATAGAGCTGGCTCTAGAGCCTATTCTCTAAATCAGGGAGTTGACAAACTTTTGTAAAAAGGCTAGATACAGATGTTAGGCTTTGTGGCTCAGATGGTCTCTATTACAACTATTCAATTCTGTTGTTATAGCAAGAAAGCAGCTAGAGGCCATAAGTAAGCGAATGAGTGTAGCGGAGTTCTAAAAAAAACTTCATTTACAAAATAGGTGGCGGTCTGGATTTGGTCCATGAGCTATAGTTTACTGATCCTGTCCTCCTTTTTTTTAAAAACCGTATGCTATGCAATGCTGCCCACCTCATCCATTTACACGGCCTAGCTGGTCCCTGTTGACCTTTGATCTGGTCTAAACCCTCAGTCCCTCCCTGTATGATGAAGTTTTTGTGAGGTAATGGGTCTAGTTTGAGCATTGACCACTGTCTTCTAGACACTGGGTAGAAAATGGTCAGAAAGGAAGCAGACAGCATGCCCTTCTGGAGCTTATGTCCTGGTGAGGGAGACAGACAGTGAACAAGATGCTCAAGGATGGTAAAAGGATACAATGAGCAGAAATGATAAAATGTTGTGTGGGCACGTGTGTGTGACATTTTAGTTAGGGTGTCCAGGAAAGTCCTCACTGAGGAGGTGACCTTTGAGTCAGCACCTGAAACAAACGAGAGAACAGCTCACGTCTGAGGGATGAATGTTCCTGCTGTTGGTGAGTTTTGGTCAGAGCAGTGACAGGAAGGCGTGGGCAGCCAGGTTTGGTTCTGAGTTCCCCTTTAACCCGGTGTAGGTTGTTAGGGCTGCCAGCGCAGCAAATGAGTCAAAGGTGAGGCAGGTGGTGAGGGTCAGACCTGGCATAGGCCTGCTTGCCCACCTCTTACCTGCAGACAGGTGGGCACCCTGCGAAAAGGGGTACAGGCATTTGGACCCAGAGCCCAGCCCTCCAAACCTTGCTCGGGAAGAAGCCAACAGAGCCTTCTCCCTTCAGCCTGGTGTCTCGGGCCCTCTACACTTCAGCATGTTCTTTCCACTCTAGATCGACCCCCTACCCTCTCTGAGTGAACCTGTTTGCTGATCATGCTTTGCTGAAACATTCCTGCTAATATTTCCTTTGGGCTGCACCGACCACAGGCCTTTATTTAGCTAAGTCCGTATAAACTGAGAAGTACCTGATCAGCATTTCCCAAAGTGTGTTTCTCCGCCCTGATAGGCAGAGTTGGGACCAGAGTGAGGCAAGGGAAGCCTGGGGTGCACACTTTAAGGCGATCACTCTCAGGGTTGCACATGTGACGTGCGGGGCCTTGCTCACTGGCCTCACCCCACTTGAGCTCTGGATGAGGGTTACGTGCAGAAGAGGCTCTGTGGTCAGTAAGGATGGGAGCACCAGCTTGCATATGTTACCCCACTGCGTGTTTCTTTAGAGCCTAAGTGAGATGATGGCAGTTCCAAGAGGGCTTCGTTTTCAGAGGGTCACGCATTTGGAAAGAGAGCAGTAGGCCCATGTTATTCCTCAATATGCCTCCTTACATAACTACTCATCTTTTCATACAATATCCAGTCTCCTGAATAAGTTCAGCTTATACCCTGAACCCACAGTGCTGGCCAGTGCTCTGCAGAGCACGAGGTTCTGGCAGGCCTCAGTCAAGAGTGGACTGCAGTGGCTTCACATCGGAATAGCATTTGTAGGACTATGGTCCTTTCATCTTCAGAATACCCTCATCACTCATCCTGTGGTAAGGTAATCTCTGGCAGTAGGTTGATTATCCATATGTTCAAAGGTCTGAATTGTGCTGTCCCATATGGTCATCATTAGCCACGTGTGGTTATTTGAAATAAAATGAATTAAGATTAAGAATGAAAGTCTGTCATTTGCAGCAATGTAGACTGCACTGGAGGTCATTATGTTAGGTGAAATAAGCCAGGCACAGCGAGATAAATATCTCATGGTCTCACTCATATGTGGGAACTAAAAGAGTAGATCTTACGGAGGTAGAGAGTAGAATGGGGGTTACGTACATTTCAGAGGCCAAGAAGGGTTGTAGGGAGGGGGATGAAGGGAAGCTGGATAACAGGTATGAAAATACAGTTAGATACAAGGAGTGAGTTCTAGTATTTGATAGCACAGCAGGGACACTATAGTTAATAATAACATGGTATATTTCAAAATAGCTAGAAATGTTCCCTGCACAAAGAAAAGATCAGTGTTTGCAGGGATGGATACCCTAATTACCCTGATTTGATCATTACCCACTGTATACTGGTATCAGACTATCACATGTGCCCCCCAAATATGTACAACGATTATATATCAATTAGGATGAATTAAAATTAGAAGTTTAGTATCTCAATTCCTCATTTCAATGGCTCAACGGCTGCATGTGACTGGTGGCCACCGTATTGGACAGCACAGACCTGGAACATTTCCATCCTTGCAGAAAACTCTGCTGAATAGCACTGATGATTTGCCAAAGCTCCACGATCTTTTACAGGCTGGCATGAAACCAGGCCCTCGGAGCAGCTGCCTTGGGAGAGGAGCGGCTCCTGTGTACCCCAAATGCTGCACCTGAATGGCCCGCAGTCAAAGGAGGGCGGGAGGGACATGATGGTGTAGGCCACTGGCAGGAGGCTGAGGAAGAGCACCAGCAGCAGGAGGCCCATGTAGAAGCTGTTGGATCGGGAGGCTTTGAACACACGCTCGTGGGGGACGTTGCTGCTCATCACTGCCCAGCACTGGAAGTACATGGAGGTCAGCAGGCGCAGCACGTTGATGCCCACCAGCCCCGGGGCGTAGAAGGAGCCCATCCTGGAAGGGCAGAAACCGGACACCTGGTTGGCCTGAGAGCAGGGAAGGTGAAGAAAGGAAAATAGAAGGAAGTGGGATGGATGGCTTAGGGGCCTGAGGCCAAGCTGCCTTCCCAGCTGGTCTCAAGGGAAGGGGCCTCTCATTTAACCAGAATACCATCACCAAGCTCTAGTCATCCAGACCTCAGGAGAGGGAGATTGTCTGCACACTGCTGGCTTGGGCTCAGGCCAGGATTTTACCACTGCCTTGCCTCAGAGCATCCAGAAAATCACAAGGTGTCCTGCCTGTTTTTCCTTGGTCTCCATAAAACAACTTTGTTAGTCAAAGTCCTTCAATTAGGAGAATTGGATAGTGGTTTGTGGTGAGCCCTTGGCATCTTGAAAGTCTTTGGCTGAAGTTACGCAGCCTCTTCTAACTCCCTTTTCAAAGGAGAGAGTTCTTATTTCATTTACCATTCTCCTCTCTTCCTCCTCCTTCCTTTTTTTTCTTCCTTCTTTCTTCTCTCCTTCCCACCTTCACCCCCTTCCTATTCTTCCCTATTCCCCCCGTCCCCCTTCTCTCCCTCCCTCTCTACCTCTATGACAGCACAGGAGTGGGCCAGAAACTATCCTGGTTCTCATCGGGTCCTGCCCTACTTGGTGTTCAGAGAGGCAAGATGATCTGTCCAATCTCCGCCCAGCTAGGTAAGTACCAAAGCCTGGGAATCCCCAAATTAGGCTATCCGCAGACAACATGGATAACTCACCAGATCATTCCTTGGTTGAAGATCAAACCCAGTACATTTCCACTAATATCAAACTCAGCATATGAAGGCTGGTGGGGGTTGACAGGAGAGAAAGAGAAAGAGGGGAGCATGTTAGGTGGCATCAGACCAACCTCACTCATTGACCAGACAGCCAGGCCAAGACAACCCTCTCATCCCAGAGAGTCTGCTCTGGTAACTGGAGAGAAGTCTTAGTTTCAGGGTTCTGTGCCTTTAACATGTTTTCAACTTTTTAAGAAAAGTTTTGACGTTCTCAACACTGGAACTTTTTCCATGTCTTTTTCAATAAAAAACTAATGTGATGGTTTCTACCTTTTAGGGCCTGCAGGCTGACTGTGTGTTCTTGGGAAGACCCTGGTTCCTAAAAGAATATTTTATCAATATTTTAATCAGAAATATAAGTTGGAATTATAATCAAGGAGTAACTCTAATACGTAATGAAATACAAATAATTTAGTAAGGAGTCAAATGAAAAGAAATTTTAAAAACAAACAAGAAATAAAGTCCAGAAATAAGTTATATAAAAGCATGGAGACTGTAGTATAGCCCTTACAGAATCCTTCTGTTTCCCGCTGGTTTGAAAGGCTCCCTTTATCATAAACCAAATTCCCACATAGATTATATCTATTTCTAGACTTCCTATTCTGTTCCAATGACTTGTCTATTCTCTAGTGCTAGTTTAGTTATTATAGCTTCATCATGCGTTATTTATTTATTTATTTAGACAGAATCTCATTCCATCACCCAGGCTAGAGTGTCCTGGTGTCAGCCTAGCTCACAGTAACCTCAAACTCCTCAGCTCAAGTGATCCTCCCGCCTCAGTTTCCTAAGTAGCTGGGACTACAGGTGCCTACCACAATGCCTGACTAATTTTTCTATTTTTAATGGAGACCCAGTGGGGGGTCTAACTCTTGCTCAGGTTGGTCTTGAACTCCTGAGTTCAAGCAATCCACGTGCCTTAGCTTCCTAGAGTGTTAGGATTACAGGTGTAAGCCACTGCACCTGACTCATAATGTATTTTAATATAAATATAATTTATTTTTCTTAAAGAATTTTCCTGGATATTCCCACATGCTTATTTTTTGAATGAACTTTAGAATTATTTTGGAATCTTGTTGAACTTCTAAATTAATTTGAGGACAATGACATTTTAGCAATATTGTGTCTTAGCCAAGAAGTCCTTTTTGAGAACAAAGTTCCTTCATCCTTGTCCTCATATAAGATTATGAAGTTTTCCTTGTTGCTGAGGAGGAGTCCGGTAGACATGTTTCAAACTGCAGCTGGTGACTAAAAGAAAAAAATGTGACAGAAACTTGCCATGGGCCCCTTTCCTGGGCCTGGCACCCTGCTGCAGGCCAGGAGAGGGCTACATAGGGAACTGTGAGGTGGAGCTTCTCACCAGGAGCCCAGTTAAGGTGAAAGTCCCTGACACCCACACCAGTGACTGCAGGGTGGGCCAGTGAGGTGTTATGGATGAGACCTGTATAGGAGAGACCCACGGGAACCAGATAGAGAGGTTCCACCGGGCAGAGATGGCCACTATGGACAGGAAATGACACATGATAGAGATGGCCACTATGGACAGGAAATGACACATGATAGAGATGGCCACTATGGATAGGAAATGACACATGTTTAGAAGGAGTAATTTCCTGGGTGGGTGGGGAAAAACGAGTATAAGGAATATGAGTTAAAAGAAGTTTCTCAAAGAATAATCCAGAAGACAGGACCAATGATTGGTTATGGTATTCTTGGAGCATTCCAGGACTTTCTGAAACATTGACATCTGCGCCAGGATTTCAGACTCCCTAATGAGAGCTGATACTGGGCAGGTGCATTTCTCCACCAACTACTTGCTGAGCACAGAAATGGTTCACGTTTTCCCAAGGCCAAACGCCTCCATTTCCCAGATTAGAAATTCGAATTGTTTATTTTTTTTGTAGTTTTTGGTCAGGGCTGGGTTTGAACCTGCTACCTCTGGCATATGGGGCCGGCACCCTACTCTTTTGAGCAAGAGTCGCCACCCAGAAGTTCGAATTGTTAATGGCATTGGGAAAAAGTAATGTAATTAAGGCAAATATGGCCCTGAAGGGAAATAAAGATTAAACACTTTACTACTGCATGGGGCAGAGACGGCCTTTATGTAGCTAAAGAAATAAAATACCCAAGAATGCATCTGACTCTGAGTATCAAAAAGGATGGTTGCAATGGCTTTTGCAGAGTGTCCATGAAACGGCGACCTACAAACCCAGCCTCCAGGTCCCAGCACCAGCAGTAGTTCATAAACCGCACAAAACAAGCTCGTAGGAAGTCCCCCAGCAGGATGGTGATGTACGTCACCAGCATGTCGGACACCGTCAGCCTCATGAATTCCTGCAGGAGCAACACAGACAAAGGGGGCGGCCAATGGTCTTGCTCACTTCTCCCGGCCTTCCTGCAGTCTCACAAACTCTCCCCCACCCGCCTTGCTTTGTCTCTGTGACCCTCTGATTCCTGTGGTAGAGGGGTGGTGTGGAGAAGGGACCCCAGGTCTGGAAAATGCTTCACTTAGGTTCCAGCCCTACAAATTACTAATTGTGTGGCTTTGGAATAACCTCTGAACTTCTTAAAGCTGATAATAATACTGGTCTTGCAGGGTTATTGGGAAACTTAGTGATTATGTATGCAAATTGGCTCTGATGTGCCGTCTGCCCCCACTAAAACTGCATGTAACCATCAGTCACTGGAGACAGTGGCTGGCTTTCTTTACCTCCTGGTAATTGGATTTTTTCTTGATATGTGTGTGTGTGTGTGTGTGTGTGTGTGTGTATAAAACAGGTTTTGCACAGAGGTATATAACAGAAGGACCAAAAGCAAAAGAATAAAGCTTTCTCTGCTGTTGCAAAGTATATATAATTTACTAATTGTTTTGGAAAAATTGAATCTATCTACCAGACACCATCACCTTTAAGACACCAAAGAGATCTGGAGTTTCTAGCGGACACAGGATCTGCTTTATTCATTTTGTACCCTCTCAGATGATTAAGATATATTTGCTAGATGAACGGCTGATAACTTTTCAGGGTTACTCCTCAAGTGGAAACATAAGGAAGGAATAAGAAAGAACTGAGAACAGAGAACACAACTACTCACAATGCCCACGGCTGTCTCCCAGCAAGAGCCTCGGGGCACATCTGCAGGATGCAGGGGTGGCCGGGGGACACTTTCATTCCAACCCGAGGAGTTGTAATAGTTGAACAGAGTCCAGTGAGTGATGTTCTTTATTTTTTCTTCTTTAGAAAGCTAGGACAGAAGGTGGAGATGCAGGATTGGGTCAGGCATGGCCCAAATCTTTCTACAGGAGAAACAATTAAAGCTGGCACATGCCACAAGCCTACCATTTAGCCTCTGCCCTACCCTGGACAGAAACTTTTCAGAAATTCCCTCCCCAGGCTTTCAATCTATCCAGGAGGTTGGAGGAGGGGGAGAAGGGGCAATTGGCTTGAAGTCCTTGAGTCTTGGAGTTATCTTCTTTAAGTTAGCATTCATCTATCCATCCACCCGTCTGTCTATCCTCTCATGAATTCTTGTTTTGAGAATAATTTATTGAGGGTCTATTTTGGGGCATCTAAGGCAGTGGTGATACAGGGGTGCCCAAGAGAGATGGGACTTCCCACAGAAAGATCGTAGTCTAGTAAATGGCAGTGATGAACAGACGATTACAGAACAGAGTGATATGAACTGTGGGAAATTTTCTCCGGGCATGAAGGAACACCCCAATTGGACAATGAGAGGGCCACAGAAAATTCCCTTGACCAGATCTCAGGGAGGTTTAGTGAACTAGTTGAACATGGGGAGAAGGGCAAAGAGAGAGGCAAGAGGAAATTTTGCCCTGCAGCGGCAATGGAGGCTCAGGAGCATGGGGCAGCCTCCTAGGGGGAGAGGGCAGCAAGAGATGCGGGAGGAGGGGTAGGTCAGGGCCAGATCCTGGCACTTCCATTCCTACATCTCAGGAATGAGGACAGGGAGTACCATTCCTTTATTCAGCCGTCCTGCAGTTCCCTGTGGGCGCCCACTGTTCCCTCTGCTGTTTTGGATGTCTGCTAAGATTTCCCTAGGGTGGGATCTGGAGCTCTTATGCCCTGCCCTGCAAGACTTACGTCCCACAGTGTGCTGTAGCACATGTCTGTCTCCAAGTGTGAACCTGCTTGGGACAGAACTGTGCTTGCTCTCAGCTGTCCCCGAAAGCCTGAGACAGTGGGTGCTCCGCAACTGTCGGGCGAGCAGTGATGAATACTTGAGTCAACCATGACCTATCACCTAGTGGATGATGACTTGGCTGTTAATCACTTATGGCAGCTAATTATAGAAAGGCTGCAGATAAAATATGAAGGCTATCGAATGACATGCATATGATGTAAAAAAAGACCACCTAAGAGAAAGATAGTAAAGAACTGCCGAAAAACGTTAACGATAGTTGTCGTGGGGTCATGGATTCTGGGAATATCTTTTTTCATTTTGTTTCTCTGAATTTCCGACATTTATTTAATTAATATGAATTATGAGTAATGAAATTATTAAAAAAGAAGGCTGGGAATTAGTGTTCTCATATAAATTGTATTTAATTTTGACCAAAGTACATTACTTAAACATTAATTTTTAATTCAACATGTTAATATGTTGTTTATCATATTGCATCCTCATTGATAAGTGAAATATGTCTATAATTTCCCCTTTATAATTATGTATTTTCTCCAATTTTAATATCAGGTGTATCCAGATTAAGTAGAATGATTTTGAAGTATTTCTTTTTCACTTCTTTTTTTTTTTTTTGAGACAGAGCCTCAAGCTATCCCCTTGGGTAGAGTGCCATGGCATCACAGCTCACAGCAACCTCCAACTCCTGGGCTCAAGCGAGTCTCCTGCCTCAGCCTCCCAAGTAGCTGGGACCACAGGCGCCCACCACAACACCCGGCTATTTTTTGGTTGCAGCTGTCATTGTTGTTTTTGGTGGGCCCGGGCTGGATTTGAACCCACCACCTTAGGTGTATGTGGCTGGCACCCTAGCCGCTTGAGCCACAGGCGCCGAGCCAAAGTATTTCTTTTTCTATTGTCTATAAGATTTGGCATGATCTATTTTTTAAAAATTGTCTTTTACTTTTATTTATAAATATTAGTTGTCTATTTTTTGAGACTTTGGAAAAAGCAAAATAAGAAGAAGAAGTTAACTGGTCAAAGTATTCTATAATAGACATACTCCTATCTGACAATGTGAATGTTACTGTCTTTGCATTATTAGTATTATTATTGCTTAATATTTCATTGCAGCAATTGTTTGATTTCTTTTCTTAATGTATTTATCTTCATTCGTTCTTTATGAGGTTTTTGTTCTCAGTCCTTACGTTAAACATTGTTATTGTCATTAAATTTAGCCTTTTTAATTCTGTGATGGCAAAAGTGGAAACCTAATATACACATGTATAACTAAGAAAAATAAATTAAAAAAAAGAAGGCTGGGCACAGTGGCTCACATCTGTAATCCTACCACTCTGGGAGGCTGAGGTGGGAGGATTGCTTGAGGCCAGGAGTTCAAGACCAGGCTGAGCAAGAGCAAGACCCCATCTTTACTAAAAATAGAAAAATTAGCCAGGGATGGTGGCACAGGCCTGTAGTTTCAGCTACTTGGGAGGCTGAGGCAGGAGGATTGCTTAAACCCAGGAGTTTGAGGTTGCTGTGAGCTATGATGATGCCATAGACTCTAGCCTGGGCAACAGAGTGAGACACTGGCTCAGAAAAAAGTAGGGGGGAATACTGTGGGTGTTAGGGAGAGTTTGTGGTTTTTACCTTGAGGTGGACGTCATCCATCAGCGCTAAGAGGAACGTGTAGAGGTTTCCCAGGAAAAGTGCAAAGATGCGCCCCAGCTGCCACTTCAGTCCAATGCGTGGGTGGTAATTCTCCAGGGCTGCGATGGTTTCAAACAGAGGGGGACAAAACATCCCGAGCAGGGACATCACAATCTCTACCTGAGAAACCAGGAAAGCCTGGGTTACTCATGTCATTAATGTGTGTATTACCTGCTTGGCCTCCATCCCTGCACCCTGTTTGAGGTTGCTGCAAACCACCCACCTTGGCCCTACAAGTGCTGGAATTACAGGCATGCGCTACCTCACCCCATCTTAATTTCACATTTTAAAAGTTTTCTAACCCAGACTTTGAACAACTCAGCCACATAGCACAGGAACCAGGGATCACAGTATTTGCCCTCAGACTTCCCCTCCTCAGAGATGTCTTTCTTACCTCATTCCGCTCATACCAGCTGACATTCTGCTTTTTGGAGAATTCCTGGGATCGCTTCACCACAAAATAAATGAGGTACCCGCTCCCACACAAACAACAAATGATGAGAAAGTTGGCCAGGACGCGAAGAAATCTTGTCAGATGGACATTTTCTTCTTTGTTACTCTCTTGTTCATCCACTATTGATTCCTTAATGCGTGAAAATGAGATGTGAATAATGTGGGGACAGAAACCAGCAGGCTCATGGCTGTTTGGCCTCTGGGAATGCTACTTTCTATATTCCCATAATTGAAAGAATACAGAGGGATTGATGTAATGCTCTGTGCCCGTGGAGAATGTTTTCTTTAAGAAGATACATTTTGGTATTATTGCTATTTTGGTACATAAGATAAGAAAAACTTAGATTTATTGAACACTCACCACACGCCAGATGTGGTACTAAACACTTTCTAAATGTTCTTCTTCTTAACCCCAACAAGAAACATAAAGTAGTTGCTATGATCAGCCACATTACAGATACCAAAGCCCAGGGAGAGTTCAGTAACTGTCTGATTGGGATTGTTTTGAATCCATGGGTCAAATAGAATTGAATCATCAATACATTGAGTCTTCTAATCTAGGAGTTGGCAAACTTGTTCTATGAAAAAAA